AGCTTGAGGCTCCGTCTCAAAAAAAAAAAAAAAAGAAAGCATATGTCCATACAAAGACACAAACACAAATGTCCATGGAAGCTTTATAGCAAGAGCTAAATCCTGGAAACAACCCAAAAGGTCCATAAACAAGTGAATCAATCAATATGCAAATTCTGCCACATCTATACTGTGGAATACTATTTAACAGTAAAAAGAAATGAACTATGGATACATGCAACAACATGGATGTTGCTCAAAACTATGCTGAGCCAAACAAGCCAGGCCAAAACAAGTGTATGTACTGCATGATTTGTTTATATGAAACTCTAGAAAATGCAAACTAATCTGAGGTGACAGAAAGCAGGTCAGTGGTTGTCTGGGGCTGGAAGAGAAGAATTACAAAGGGGCCTGAGGGAACTTTTGGGAGGATATGTTCAATATTGGATATGTTCATATTGGATATGTTCAATGCTCATATTGGCTACATTCAATATTTTTTTTTGCAGTTTTTTTTTTTTTTTTTTTTTTTTTTTGGCCAGGGCCGGGTTTGAATCCGCCACCTCCAGTATATGGGGCTGGCGCCCTACTCCTTGAGCTGCAGGCACCACCCTAATGTTCAATATTTTGATTGTGGTGATGGTTTCAGAGGCATAAACATATGTCAGAACTTAATTTTTTTTTTTTTTTACTTTTTGCATTTTTCTGCCAGGAACACTGTGTTGAGACAAAACTTATCATACTGTGAACTTTAAACATGTACAGTTGTGTGTCAGTTAGACCTCCAAGAAGCTGTTAAATATAAAAAAGAAGGAATACAGCTGAAGTCCATATCATTATAAAGGGGAGGGACAGATAGGGTAGGCATGGTCTTGTTCCCCAATTCTAAAATATTATCACCAAGGCAATCTACAAGCAACCTGAATGAAAAAAATTCAGGGAAAAAAAAAAAGAAAAAGAGAACTAAACTTATAAAATTCAAAGAACAACTATAACATGTTATCCCCTAGAGGGTAGGTTAAGGAATTTGAGGCAGTTTGAGAGATGTTCCTGCTGGGCCCAGTGGCTCATGCCTATAATCCTAGCAATTTGGAAGGCTGAGGTGGGAGGGTCACTTAAGTTCAGACGTTTAAGACTAGCCTGGCCAACAAAGTGAGAACCCATCTCTATAAAAATTTTTAAAAATTAGCTAGGTGTGGTAGCTGCCTGTAGTCTCAGCTACTTGGGAGGCTAAGGCTGGAGAATCATGAGAGTCCAGGAGTTTGAGGCTGTACTAAGCTATGGTGCCACTGCACTCCAGTGACAGAATGAGATCTTATCTCAAAGAAAGAGAAAAGAAATGTGCCCAACATTTTAGATTGTCAGAAGAGCCAGAAAGGTCAGACACATTGTGCCATCAGAGACAGGTGAGGTATGAGGTTTTATTTCTCTTATCGAATGCTATGTATGTCCTAAAACTCAACATCTCCCAAAATGCACTCATTCCCCCCCAACCCATTCCACTGCCTGTATTCCCTAATTCATAGAGTGATACAATCCCTGCCAGACACATGCTAAGTCAAAGCCATCAAATCTGCCTTTTAAATCTCTCTTGCAGGCTGGGTGCGGTGGCTCATACCTGTAATCCTAGCACTCTGGGAGGCTGAGGAGGGTGGATTGTTTGAGCTTAGGAGTTTGAGACCAACCTGAGCAAGAGCAAGACTCTGTCTCTACTAAATACAGAATGTCCATAAAATTTGTGTGCACTTACAAAGTCACAACTATTTTAAATTGTACATCAACTTTATGGACACCCTGTACAGAAAAAAACCAGCCAGACATGGTGGCAAATACCTGTAGTCCCAGCTACTCAGGTGGCTCAGGTAAGAGGATTGCTCAAGCCCAAGAGTTTGAGGTTGCAGTGAGCTATGATGCCATGGCACTCTACCCAGGGCAACAAAGTCAGATTCTGTCTCAAAAAATAAATGAACAAAAATTAAAAAATTTTAAAAAATTGTACCCTAAAAAAATAAATCTCTCTTGAAACCTAACCCACTCCTGCGTTGTGATCCTGGTTCTGGCCAGCTAGTGTACTTTCTCAGCTGGAGTACTCTTTTAAAATTGTTCATCTAACCAGGCAATTGTGCTTTCATCATTTCTGTTCTCCTATCTTCCAGCAGAATTTCTTTACCTTGGGGGCACATTTGAATCACCTGAGGAATTAAAAAAATACCAATGTTTTGACCCCACTCCCATAGATTTTTGATGTAATTGGTCTCGGGTAGGGCAGAGAACTTTTTCCTGAAGCTTCCTAGATGATTTATTTATTAATTATTATTATTATTATTATTGTAGAGATAGAGTCTCACTTTATCACCCTTGGTAGAGTGCTGTGACATCATACAGCTCACAGCAACCTCCAGCTCCTGGGCTTAGGCGATTCTCTTGCCTCAGCCTGAGTAGCTGGGACTACAGGCGCCCACCACAGTGCAGAGCTATTTTTTGTTGTTGTTGCAGTTTGGCCGGGGCCAGGTTGGAACTCAGCATATGGGGCCAGCACCCTACTCACTGAGCCGCCCAGATAATTTTTTTTTTTAAGACAGAGACCTATTATGTTGCCCTCGGTAGAGTGCTGTGGCATCACAGCTCACAGCAACCTCAAACTCTTGGGCTTAAGCGATTCTCTTGCCTCAGCCTCCCAAGTAGCTGGGACTACAGGCACTTGCCACAACCCCCGGCTATTTTTTGTTGCAGTTGTCATTGTTGTTTTAGCTGGCCCAGACTGGGTTTGAAACTGCCCACTTCCATGTATGTGGCTGGAGCTATAACCACTGTGCTACGGGTGCCGAGCCTTCTTAGGTGATTTTAATGTACAGCTAGGGTTAATAATCATTGCCCTAAAGTAGTGGTTCAGCCAGTGCTTGGTGGGTCATGCTTGTAATCCTAGCACTTGGGAGGCCAAGATGGGTAGAGCTCAGGAGTTTGAGACCAGCCTAAGCAAGAGGGAGACCCCATCCATACTAAAAATAGAAAAACTAAAGAGATGCTGTGGTGGGTGCCTATAGTCCCAGCTACTTGGGAGGCTAAGGCAAGAGGATTACTTGAGCCCAGGAGTTTGAGGTTGCTGTGAGCTAGGCTGATGCCATGGCACTCTTCCCAGGACAACAGAATGAGACTCTGTTAACCCTATTATGAAACTAATTTATAGCTATCATAGGAAAACTATAACCCAATTTTAGACCAAGAATAAAGGGAAAGGGGAAAGGGAGGGGAGGGGAGGGGGGAGGATGAGTGGAGGGAGGGTGATTGGTGGGATCAAGCCTATGATTTATCCTATAACGGTACATGTGAATCTTACTAAATGTAGAATATAAATGTTTTAACACAACAACTAAGAAAATGACACGAAGGCTATGTTAACCAGTTGGATGAAAGTATTCCAAATTGTATATAGTAACAACCCACTGTACCCCATGATAGTATCAATGTACACAGCTATGACTTAATAAAAAAAAGAAATAAAAGAAATAAATGAAGCAGTGGTTCTTGGCTTGGTGCCTATAGCTCAGCAGCCAAGGGCGCCAGCTACATACACCAGAGCTGGCGGGTTCAAATCTAGCCAGGGCCTGCCAAACAACAATGACAACTGCAACCAAAAAAAAGAAAAAAGAAAAAATAGCCAGGCATTGTGGGGGGTGCCTGTAGTCCCAGCTACTTGGAAGGCTGAGGCAAAAGGATTACTTAAGCCTAAGAGTTGGAGGTTCTATGAGCTGTGACGCCACAACTCTACCAAGGGAGACAAAGTGAGATACTGTCTCAAAAAAAAAAAAAAAAAAGAAAAGAAAAAAAGCAGAGGTTCTCAAAGTCTCTGGGCATTAGGATCCCCTAAAGGGCTTGTTGAAACACAGGGTGCTGGGCTCCACCTCCACAGTTTCTGATTTAGCAGGACTGGGCTGGAGCCTGAGAAGTACCATCTCTAACAAGCTTCTAGTTCATGCCGATGCTGCTGGTCTGCGGACTACACTTTGAAAATCATTGCCTGGCCTCAGCCATAAAGCCTATGTTTGTCACGGCCTGCTAAGCCCTTCACCACCTGCTTCCTGTCTCTCCAATTGCATTTCCTACTTCTCCTTACCTCAGATCCTATTCCTACTATAATAAAAATCACTACCGCGCTCTCATCATGCCATGCTATTTTATGCCACCATGGCTTTTGTAACATAAGACCTTCTGTTTGGAATAAGTCCCCTGTACTCTACCACTCTACACAGAAAACCTCCATTCATCCTTCAAGGCTAAGAGCATGCATGTATCACTTCCTCTGTGAAGCTTTCACTGCTTTGCCCCATGTAGAGTTGGAAAAATGTTCCCTGGATACCCTCATTAACAATGCACCGTGCTGGGCAGTGCCTGTGACTCAGTGAGTAGTGCGCCAGCCTCATATACTGAGTGTGGTGGGTTCAAACCCAGTCCCGGCCAAACTGCAACAAAAAATAGCCGGGCATTGTGGCAGGTGCCTGCAGTCCCAGCTACTCAGGAGGCTGAGGCAAGAGAATTGCCTAAGCCTAAGAGCTTGAGGTTGCTGTGAGCTGTGATGCCACAGCACTCTACCAAGGGTGACAAAGTGAGACTCTGTCTCTAAAAAAAAAATAAATAAATAAATAAATAATAATAAAATGCACCGTGCTGCTGTCATATGTATTTGTGTACACATGTGCTCTAATGAGCCAGCACAGTTCTTTGTTCACCCCTGATTGCCAGTACCTAGCATAAGTCTCAGCCCAGAGTATGTGTTCACTAAATGTTTCTGTATGAACATGGGAATCATTCCCATACTAGAGGTAGGTGTTAGGGGTTGGGACTGCTTGAAACCCACATAGGCTTGTTAAACCTTGGGATCCTGTGAAGATGCCAGAGTTACTATGGTTTCTTATTTCTCAACACTGATGAGATCTGAGTGGACAAATAGACTTTGAGCCAAAGCTAGCTCACGTCACCATGTTAACCAACTTGGCCATGGCCTACAATAGCAGCAGAAATGGAAAGGCCCTTCAGAGATACCTGGAGGTTGGAAAAACTTACATAGTGCCTGCAGTGTGATGGTAGAACAGCCTGCCTGCCTGTCTGTCCATTGGTCTGTCTGTCTGTTTGTCCCCAAGCCAGACTCTACCTGGATGTATAGGTACTCAAAAGCAGCAGGATCCCGACGCAGGAGCTCCACAGGGTCTTTGGGAAAGAAGCTTATTCGGAAGAGGCATTTCATTCCATGATAGTGTGTCCGCTGCACCACCTAAGGCCCAGGATGAGAAGAAGAGAGATGTGGAATCAATGGCCGGGATGGTGGGAAGTCAGCTCAGTGACTCCTTAAGGTGGAGCCTGGGGTAGAGCCAGGCTGTTCTTTCCCATTCTGTCTCCCACTTGGAAAATTCTGATTCTCTTTACGGGGAAGTGATGAGGGACCAGGTCTTTCCTGCATGTCTGACCCAAAATCATAGGAATTTTAAAATCACTTATCTAAGACATGACCTTTATCAACAATTGCATCTAAGGCCCAAGACACTAGGTAGGAAGAGAGGGCTCCTGGGAACTTCTCAAGATTCTTTTCTGGCTGTGGGGCTCATGCTTTCACCTTGACAGGAGCTTAGCCTCAAGCAGAGTAAATTGCTGATTGGAAGCCAAATCAAAGATTTAAAATCCCATGTCAACGAATAGATGAAACAAGTTGGCAATATATTGGAATTGTCAATCCTAGGGATGGGTAATAGGGTCCATTATACTATATTCCTTCTACTTTTGTGTATTTTTGAAATTTTTCATCATAAAAAGTTGAAAATCTCATTTGGAACAACAGACCAATTATATTCAAAGGGCTGCATAGGCGCTAGGGAGGCACTTAGGCCTCCCTCCAAGCAGGGCACCTACAACCCTTCCTTCCCACCTGTGAGTTTCTGGATTGCATTTGGCTGAGAACTAAACTTGAAGAACCCGTCTTTCCAAAAATCTTTTCATCTTTTTTTTTTTTTCCTTTTCCATCTGCTATTGGTTTTTACGTGGTTTCCATGTAGGCTTTGAAAAGGTATTTCTTCCCAACTATTCCTCCTCACCTCGGTCCCACCCTACCTGGGAATACTGACTGGCTGCCCCTCTGAGACTTATTGGTGCTTCACCATTGGTGGAGTGCTGTCTAGCAATCCTGGATTCCCCCAGCCTTTTTCCATATGGGGAGGAATGGGAAGACCAGACAAGTTTTTCCCACTCTACCTTGGAAGGTGATGTGGGCGGCATGCTGCCTATTCTTGGCCCTAACTCAGTCAACTCCCAACTCTCACTTGTCCTAACCTCACTAGATTACATTCCACTGACCCTTCTGTTTTATAGCCTTAATCCAAAGAGCCAAGTTTTTAGGCCTGGCAAGGTGGCTCAGGCATGTAATCCCACTGGAGGCCGAGGTGGGTGGATTGCTTAAGCTCAGGAGTTCGAGACCAGCCTGAGAAAAAGTGAGACCCCGTCTCTACTACAAATGGAAAAACTAGCCAAGTGTCATGGGGGGTGCCTATAGTCCCAGCTACTCAGGAGGCTGAGGCAAGAGGATCTCTTAAGCCCAGGCATTTGAGGTTGCTGTGAGCTATGATGCCACAGCACTCTACACAGGGCAAGAGAGTGCTAAACAGAAAACAAAGAACAAAACAAAAACAAGAAAGAGCCAAGTTTCTCCCTAAACGCAGAAAAGTCTAGCGAATGGGGGTTCCAGAACACAGAAGACTTGCCACTGCTCTAGAACTCAGCATTCCGGGTGCCACGTGACTTATTAGCCCACACTCTTCCCACTAGACACTGAGACTAAGAATCTACATGCCTTTCTCAGGTCACAAAGGGCACTGTCAAAAGCCCTTTGGAGGTGGGAAGTACTGGCTTTGGGTGAGAACCACAACTTCTGGGAGGTACCTGAGTCTATCATCGTGTTTCCGGACAGGAAGTGCCTGAGGTCCTCTTCTAGACTAGAGGCCACATATAAAGCTATCAAGCCAGGAAAAAGGAGTTACTTACATAAGCCAGGGGCTGCTTGTCCTGGAGAAGCAGAAACTTGTGATTCTGTTCTGGCCCAGCGTACTCAAGGACAAGAGCAAAATGCTCAATGTACCTCAGGGAAAGACGGTCCTGTAATGTCACCATCACATCCTGTGGAAGACAAAAGCCTTGAGAGGAAGATCCATTCTGGCTCTAAGTTATTCTAAGCACCAAGCATGGGAGGGAGAATCAAACACCAAGAAAGATAATCCCGGGGAGAAGGCTTGAGATGCCGGCCTTTATGGCAGCCCCAACACTGTGCTTCAGGATGAGGAAAGTGACTCCTGAGTGCTGCTCAGAGGGCTGGGCCCTGGGAACACCAAAGGTGCAGGGGATGAAGGTAGGTGTTTCTGAACTTCTCTTGGCCAGGCATGTGGCACAAGAAAGTCATGTCTCTCCCTCCCTCCCTCTCTCCCTTGCATTCCACAAATTATTTCCAGAATGCTTACCCAGTGCCAGGCACTGTGTTAGCTCTTCTCTTCCCTTTTCTTCTAAATCAGAACATTCATTCAGGTTTATCTGTCAACTCTTTACTTAGGAATTATTCAAAGCCAAAGTTACATTTATATGATTAAAAAGGGTGCTATTGGTCGGGCGCGCTGGCTCATGCCTGTAATCCTAGCAGTCTGGGAGGCCAAGGTGGGTGGATTGCTTGAGCTCACGAGTTCCAGACCAGCCTGGGCAAAAAGTGAAACCTGTCTCTACTAAAAATAGAAAAACTGAGGCAGGAGGCTCACTTGAGCCCAAGAGTTGGAAATTGCTGTGAGGTATGACGACCATAGCACTCTACCAGGGAGACAGCTTGACACTCTAACTCTAAAATAAAATAAAAGGGTGCTATTTCCAGATTCATAATCTAAATCAAATAACTTGAGTTATTGGCAAACTGTTCGCTTTTGACCATATCAGGCTTTTACAGACTATCAATTTAGGAACTTGAAAAATGTAGCCACACAGAGGAACTATGTCTTATTGTCTTGTGTACAGTCACACATCTGACTACTTCTGGGCTCTGTCTGACCTGCTGCCCTACTTTTATTAATGATATTAGGGTGTCTGGAAATACATTGGTGGGGGCTGCCCAAATGTCACTTTTAAGACTTCTGCCACTGATTTGCTGTGACTTTGGCTTACATACTGGGCTCCAGTGTGTGTGTTCATCGAGTTGGCATCTCTCAGCCCCCAAATGCTGGAAAGAAGCAGGCTTGGGAATGTGAATCTCCCTTACAACCAGGGTTGCCAAACAAGCCCCTCAATGAACACTGAAAGATGTTCAGCCATTCAAATGTAAGGCTGGAAATTGGTGAGTACTTGAGAGCTTCCCTTTGTGTTATCCAAGTAGTCACAGAGGCGCCAGTGTTGCTGGAGCTCTGTCAGGGACAGATGAGGTTTTCTTTGCAGTTCAGCTGTACTGGGATTGTGGACAGCCAAGCCAGTGATTGCCAACTGGTGTTACAAGTGTAACAGCCCCTGTGCCAGGCTGTCAATTCACCCAGGTACCTCTCTGGGACAAGTGGCTTGGCAGCCAGTCAAAGTCCCAATAAATAGCCAGCACACCCTTCCTGAAGTCAAAGGGAGATCATGAGAGAGGGGAACCCTGCTGTCCTGGAAGGCTGGGGCTACCTGGAAGCCAGAGTTGGCAGTGATGATGTAAAGTGAGAGAACCTTGGAGAAGCCTCCAAGGGGAAAGAGAGGGTAGTGAATGCTACACTGTCCAGAAAGAATCCACAGTGGAAATTCCAGTTCATGAATAAATACTGAGGAGATTTCTGATACAAAGAGATACCTACATCTGGAGGAGGGACATTCAGACACAACTTGGGTAGCCTAGAGTTCTGTTCCAATGCCCCCTCCCATAGCCTGAAACCTTCAATAGCTAAGCCACCATCCCATGGCACCCTAAGAATATCCTCTGTCCCCTGGGGGACCCACACAGGCCTAAGCTGTCCAAAGAAATTTTTTTTTTCGAGACAAGAGTCTCACTTTATTGCCCTAGGTAGAGTGCTGTGGCATCATAGCTCACAGCAACCTCCAACTCCTGGACTTAGGTGATTCTCTTGCCTCAGCTTCCCAAGCAGCTGGGACTACAGGCACCTACCACAACGCCCAGCTAATTTTTTGGCCGGGGCCCGAGTTTGAACCTGCTACCCTCAGTATATGGGGCCAGTACCCTACCCATTGAGCCACAGACGCTGCCCCAAAGAAATTTAGTTTAATCAACATGGTTTAGTCACAGTGTATTGACATGAGGGTGCTACTGGCACTTCAGGCAGGACAATTCTTTTTTTCTTTTTTTTATTTTCTGACACAGAGTCTCAAGCTGTCGCCCTGGGTAGAGTGCTATGGCATCACAGCTCACAGCAACCTCAAACTCTTGGGCTTAAGCAATTCTCTTGCCTCAGCCTCCCAAGTAGCTGGGACTACAGGTGCCCACCACAAACGTCCGGCTATTTTTTGGTTGTAGTTGTCATTGTTGTTTGGCAGGCCCAGGCTGGATTCGAACCCGCCATGTCCAGTGTATGTGGCTAGGGCCCTAGCCGCTGAGCTATAGGGGCTGAGCCTGGGCAGGACAATTCATCACAATTCAGGGACTGTCCCACTCCCTGCAGAATACTTAGCATCTCTGATCCTGAGACACCAAATGTTTGTGAAGACCCAAAATGCCCTTTGCCATTTCCAGGGTGGGCCATATTGACCCTGGTTGAAAACTACTGGCAAGGCCCATACTGAGCACCTGAGAACTCCTTGTAAAGTTTTCCTGGTCCAGGGGTTTCTTTATTTATAGGGTTGTCTTCGTCTCAGTGTGGGAACTACAGGACATCTGTGTGCCAAGGTAGGTTTGCTGGGTAGGCACTGCAGCTGCCAGCAGTTTGGGCAGCACTGATTACATTAAAACATTTATTCTGGGGATGGCATTCTCTTTCTGGAGAGAGTCCAGAAGAAGAAGGAATGGATATTTCTGTCCCAGAGCTGAGTGAATCTGAGGGTTAATTGTATCATCGCCTCTGCTCCTCAGGACTAAGAGAATCACTACGAATTTCAGACGCCTGGCTGAGCTGTTAAGAATCACAGCTCAGTAATTGCTCTTCCTGTGAAAAGAATAGCCAAAGGGGCTATGGCTGGACTTTTCAAATCTTGGTTCAGTGCTTAAGATCTGCTTGTTATTTAAAAAGCAAGACATGGTTAAGCTAATCTCCCCAGAGATTGTGTTTGTTTATTTCTGTGTGTAAACTTGCGTAGGTGTTACCATATCAATATAAATCACTGATGCTTATTATCCGTGGTTTAATGATATTTACGCTCCTCAGTTCCTAAGTTCCTGAGGGACCCTGTGCAACATGAACACAAAACAGTTCACCGGTAGATGTGAGCCCAAGTGCCCACATGCACCCATGCGCCCATGTGCCCACGTGCATACACACGCAGCATTAACAATGACTAGCACACAGTGGGGCATGCAAATATCCAGCTCCATCATCATCTGTGGACTGCATTTTTGCAGCCTTGTTCTCACAAGCATTGGGAGCTAAAGATCATCTTGCTTGGGCAGCAAGTAGACTCAGAAGCGCACAGGACAAACAGTGGGCTATATTCTGGAGAGGTCAATGCTGGCCTGGGAAAGGAGACTCTGTAGGTACCTTTACAGTGGTCCGGCCATCAAACGTGAATGACTTAATCTGCCCATTTTCTAAGAAAACCTTCAGGACGTTGGGGATGAGGAGGAGAGCTTCCTTCTTCATCATTTTCTGTGAAGAAGCAGAAAAAAACAGGGAGAGAGACTCATTTAGAAGGAGGAGGGACGCAAGAGGAAAGGTATAGAAAGGAACAGAGAAAAGGTGAAAGGGACAGGGAGCCAAAGGTGCAGGAGGACACAGACACTGCAAAGAGTGGATCAGTAATAATGCTACACGGGAACTAGAGCCAAATTCACCAAGAAGGCACTGGGCCGTGTCAAAAGTTCACCCTTCGGCAAGGCACGGTGGCTCATGCCTGTAATCCCACCACTCTGGGAGGCTGAGGTGGATGGATCGCCTAAGCTTAGGAGTTTGAGACCAGCCTGAACAAGAGTGAGATCCCGTCTCTCCTAACAATAGAAAAACTAGCTAGAAGTCATGACAGATGCCTGCAGTCCTAGCTATTTGGGAGGCTGAGGCAAGATCACTTTAGCCCAACAGTTTGAGGTTGCTGTGAGCTATGACACCATGGCACTCAGCCCCAGGGTAAATGAGTGAAACTGTCTCAAAAAAAAAATAAAAAGTTCGCCCTTCATTTAACATCATGGTGCCCCCTTTGTGGTTCAGATCTCCACCGCTTGGCCCATAGAGCAGTGCTTGGCCCACGGAGACCATCATACACTCCCAGAAGGGCTGATGCAGGGCCTCCTTTGGAACACACCTTACTCACCCGATTTCACTTCCTGATACATCCTTTTCCACCAGGCCCTTCACAAACCAAGATCACTTCCCCCCCCCACCGCGATGCTTTTGCTTTGGCATTTCCCCTCCCTTATAGCCACCTAGGCCTTTGTGACCTGGCCCCTGCCTACCTCCCCAGAGTTACAACCTGCCTTCTATTCCTAGTTCCCATGCCTCCATACCTTTGACAAGTCTTCATCATTCAGGACCCTCCAACTGTCTGCGGGGCACTTAGTGTCTCTGATTCTGAGACACAAAATGCCAATAGCACACCAAGTCTTTGGGATGACCTAAAACACTCTTAGACATTTCCAAAAGGTCTCTAGGAGTGGGCAATGCCTACCCTGACTGAGAATCACTGGCGAGACATCTTTGGTTTTTTTTCTTTTTGAGACAGAGTCTCACTATGTCACCCTTGGTAAAGTGCCGCGGGGCACAGTTCACAGCAACCTCAGACTTTTGGGCTTAAGCGATTCTCTTGCCTCAGCCTCCCGAGCAGCTGGGACTGCAGGTGCCCACCACAATGCCCGGCTGTTTTTTGGCTGCAATTGTCATTGGTGTTTAGCAGGCCTAGCCTGGGCTCGAACCCCCCACCTTCAGTATATGTGGCCAGCACCCTACTCACTGAGCTACAAGCGCTGAGCCACTGGTGAGGCATCTTTCTGAGCACCTGACAACTTCTTAGCAAAAGTTTTCCTTGCTTAGAAGTTTATAGAGTGGTGCATGTTAAGTTCTCAGTAAAAATTCATTAAAGAAATCCCGTTTCCTCCGCCTTTCTCTTTCCCTTCTTGGTAAACTCCTACTCATCCTTCAAAATCCAGCTCAATAGTCAGACATTGGACCTGGTTCACTCATGCATTCCTACAGCAATCTATATAAACCTCTCAGTGCTCTTATTATATTTTTAAAGAACATTTAATCTTTCACAATCAAATGGTGAATTCAGAATGCAATAGCCATGTCCTATTCATCTTTGCAGTACCCATACTAAACCAAGCTCCTGACACACAGCTGGTGCTCAATAAATGGCTGCTGATGAATGAGCAGCAGGTGCCTAATATGTACTTACTTCAATGATTACATTTCCTCAGGGCAACACCATCGGTTCCTCAGAACGAAAAAGCTACATAGATGGCCGGAATTCTTAATCCGGTGGGCATTCACTGAGCCACTATGGTATGCCTAGCACTGTGCTGAGTCCCCAGGAGGACTACAGCAAAAATAGAGAACTTGAGCCCAGTCTCCACTCATGTCAGTGACCTGGCATAAACACATGTTAGAAAAAACCAAACAGCTAAAGTTCCGTAGACAAGGCAAATTCGATTTTGATTTTGAAGGAGATGGAGGGTATAGATTCCTTATTTTTTTTTTTTTTTTTGAGACAGAGTCTTAGTATGTCACCCTCGGTACAGTGCTGTGGCATCACAGCTCACAGCAACCTCTTGGGCTTAAGTGATTCTCTTGCCTCAGTCTCCCAAGTAGCTGGGACTATAGGTGCCTACTGCAATGCCCGGCCATTTTTTATTGCAGTTGTCATTATTGTTTTAGCTGGCCCGGGCTGGGTTCAAACCCACCAGTATGTGACCGGCGCTGTAACCACTGTGCTATGGGCACCGAGCCAATGGGCATAGATTCTTAAAGAAGCCGAAAAAGCACAGTCCAGATTAGGGACTGTCATGGATCATGGACAAAGCAATTAGGAACAAGCAAGTCTCCTGGGTGGGTTTTGGTTGCTGGTGGTGAGGAATCAGGAGTCAGGCTTGGCTGGGGTCAAGTGGGAACTGATGGGATAAAAACTGACTCCCTAGTCCTCTCCCTGCTCCTGAGATGCCTTACTCCTGCCCAGCCCAAAGCCCCTGGATCCCCAGCTGATGATGCGCAGTGGTGGCAAGATTTATTTAGCACACTGGGTTGGACTCAGATAATTACTTAATTGATTTTGCTTAAAAATAGAGTTGGCAAGGAACGCCCACAGGATTTATTTTTGCTCTGGTTGCTTAATAAAGCCTTGGAACACGAAGGAAAAGGGGATGATAGGACAGTCCAGAGTCACCTGGGCCTAGAGCCCCCCAGGTCCCAACCAGTGATGAGGTTACTATGGTCCACACTGGCGGCAGTGGTGCTGTTGTAACATCAGGTGAGTTCCTGAGCAAAGAGAGAGTTGGAAGACTGATGTCCCTCTTTCCCTCAGACAAGAGCCCTGAACCAGACCTGATGGCTTGTTCAGGAGGAAGAGAAGCAACTTGGGGTGGGTCCTCCCTACTCTGGGGCATTTGTGTTCTGATAGACTGCAGCGGGGAGTTGATTCTGCCTGTGGCCTAGCTGTGGTATACGGAGAGGGGAGCTATGGTGGAGGAAGGAGAGATTGGAGCAGGGACAGTGGAAGGAAGATGAAAAGAGGGGAGGGGAGGGAGTTCTTCACTGAGTGGCTTGACCTCGGTTGATTACTCTGCAATGATGGGATGGGATTGTATGCACCTGTCCATACTTCCCAAATCAATTCATATGTCCTCTGGGTTTTCAAGGGCTTAGGACACAAATTTCCCCTTAGTGACTTGGACTTCATACCGTTCACTTTCCTCTTTGCTCACCAACCCTTGCTTCTCTTCAACCTTTTCTGCTAGGGTTGACATGGGTCCCAGCCACCAACAATTCAGACAACTTGTACAGTGGGGTCCTATAGCCCCCCTGTGCTTTCCTTCTATACAAAGGAGGAGGAGGAGGAGGGCATGGGCTCCGTTTGGGGATGAGATTCAGGGAAATGGAGATGGAAGACACCTGTGTCCTCTAGCCCTTCTGAATGACTCTTCCTCAAAGAACTAGAGAAGTGCCTGGCCTCCCGCTGATTTCCCCACTCAATCTGGGCCTGCTAGTGTCTCTCAACAACTGCAGCTGTGCCTCAGTATGTAAATGCCAAGGGCCCCCTGATGGCCCTGTCTGCCACAGCCTGCAAAAGCACAGAAGTGCCTGTTAGTTCCAGCTATCTCCTCCACCCCCACTGGGATATCACCAACTTCTAAAGATTCCTAGGGTACTTTGGCCTCGAACCCATGACTGCTCAGCACAGATCTTTCTCCTCTCCACCCACTTCTTATTTGCACATCTGGGGCAGTCAGTTCACTGCATGTAAACCCACAAAGCAGTGGGAAAGACTGCAACTGGCCAGGACTCCCCTCCCCGCTATGTTGTTAGCTGCGTGGCATGGGCTGTTGAACATTGTCTGCTCCTCCATACCATACCACCCAGTAGCAGATTTTATATTGTCTCAATCTGAACCACTTTTACCCTGGAACATCACTGAGAGATATCCAGTGCTATGAAACATATATATTTCTTTTGCCTCCCCTCTAGCACTGGGAACACAGTAGATACCTAATAAAAACGTGGTGCTTTAATGAGAGTCTGTATCATTTGCTCTAGGCAGATTCACCCATCACGGCAGTCTTCTCCAGTCAAGATGTGGGGTTGCAGGATCACTTAAATGTGAAGAGAGGTCAATTTCAGCAGCCACTTATTCCTCAGATCTTCAGAAAACCATTACTTCCTTTCTGCTTTTATCAAGTAGCCAAAAGATGGTCATGGAGCACTTGTTCTGGGTGTAAGCTATTGGGTTAGGGATGGAAATTTCTCTAAGCAACAGGAGGATCTTGATGGAATCAATAGTGTTCCTTCTCCTCTCGATGCCCAGAGCCATTCTGGATATCACATACTCCTCCTCACTCACTACCCCTCCACCCACAGCACCGGGACCCTCCCACGCCTTTCAGAACAACACTGTGCACCACTGAGTAGCCCCAGAGGGAGACCTGACAGTCAGGAAGACTCTGGCCTCGGGTGGAGGGGAGAGAGCCAAAGCTGCACTTACTGCATTTGTTTCTTTAACTGCCACCTGCTCAGAAAATCGAACCTTCGCAGGATTGGACCTCAGCTTGGCCTTCTTCGCAGCACTGATGAAGGCAGATTTGGGGGACTGAAAAAAGAACAGAGAGCTGGTGAGTTCCCCGTTCCTGGGGAAAACCTGATCATTGTCATGTCAGAGTTAAGATGTCCCAGTACAGGTCCACTTTGCCTTACTGATTAAGGAGTCAATAAGAATTGATTGCCTACTGGGTGCAAGGCGATGTGCTAAGTGCTTCGCTATATGAGTGGTGTGTTCGGGAAAAGTTGGGCATGAATTGAATTGAAGTAAATTGAATCCCAATATTAATGCTCTATGCCTAGGGGAGTTTGCAAAAATGTTTTAGTAATGACATACATTGAATTTTTATGTATTTGGTTTTCTTCATGTGAGATATATCTAAATGGTGATTTTTATTACATCTGAATATAAGCATCTCAAAGCATTTACAGAAATGGTCTTATCTCACAGATATGCCCTGCTCCCATAAAGAAGGCGCACGACAGATATTATTTTAGACTTGGGAGAAAGGAGACCGAGCACGCCAGCATGATTTATCTATAGTTGCAATGCTATTTGGAAACAGAGATGTGGGAGCTTTAACCCAGGTCTTGTGGCTTTCTGGTTCTGGGCTCTGCACCACTTTGTTTATCCAATGCTATAAGAAATGCCCCAATAATCAGCTAGGTTCTTTATTTATTTTGTTTTTTGAGACAGAGTCTCCCTATGTCACCCTGGGTAGAGTGCCGTGGCATTGCAGCTCACAGCAACCTCAAACTCTTGGGCTCAAGTCATTCTCTTGCCTTACCCTCCCAAGTAGCTGGGACTACAGGCACCTGCCACATCCCCTGGTTATTTTTAAAGGAGGTCTCGCTCCCGCTCAGGCTGGTCTTGAATCTGTGGGCTTAGGCAATCCACCCACCTCGGCCTCCCCAGGGCTACGATTACAGGCATGAGCCACTGCGCCTGGCCAGGTTCTTTATCTTAAAAAGTAGCCCAGGGGGCAGGGGCAGTGGTTTGTGCCTGTAATCCTAGCACTTTGGGAGTCAGAGGCTGGAGGATGGCTTGAGGCCAGGAGTTTTAGACCAGCCTGAGCAATAGTGAGATGCTGTTTCTACCAAAACCAAATTACACAGATATATAGAGGGGGCTAAACAATGTATATATTTTTAAGAAGAAAAATGTATTAAAATCATAATACTCAATATATACCAATACCAACACACACACACACACACACACACACACACAAACAATGGCCAGCATGGTGGTGGGCACCTGTAGTCCCAGCTACTCAGGAGCTAAGACAGGAGGATGACTTGAGTCCAGGAGTTTGAGGTTGCAATGAGCTATCATGACGCCAGTGCACTCTAGCCCAGACAACAAAACAAGACCTTGTCTCAATAAAATGAAAATAAAAACAAAAAAGTTGCCCAGAAATTCAGCAGAAAGCATGATTAGCAATCACTGAAAACTAAGCCTTTCCTGGGAGCTCCTGGTATTCCAAGCCCCTGCTGAGTTCCGTATAGCCTAGTAGCCAGGAAATGCAGGAGTCAAGCTGAGGGGCACCCTCACATCTTTGGGGACATTTCTTCATTCATATGATAGATTTAGGGAGAGCCTACAACATGCCAGGCACTGTTCTAGGTGATGAAGGATAGAGCAGTGAATAAGAGAAACAAAACTCCCTGGCCTCATGGAGTGGCCTTTCTAGCAGGGGAAGATAGACTATAAATAACTATCTTTTAGGGAGCAAATAAGGACTGTGAGGAAAAATGGGGAAGGGGAAGGGACTACACAAAAGGGTGAGTGAGGATGGGAGTGGTGGGGGTGTTATTTTAGCAATTTTGAAATATACATTATTATTAACTGTGGTCACCATGCTGCACAATAGATCTCAAAAAATTTATTCCTCCTGTCCAACTGAAACTTTGTACCCTTTGAACATCTCCCCATCCCCTCCTTCACGCCAGCCTGGTAGAATGGGAATCCCCTTTCCCCTCCTTACTTCTATGAGTTAGACTTTTTAAGATTCTGTATGTGAGATCTGTCTTTCTGTGCCTGGCTAACTTCACTTAGTACAAATGTCATTTGGGTTCATACGCGTTGTCACAAATGACAGGATTTCCTTCTCTTCGATGGCTGAATAGTATTCCACTGTTTACAGGTACTGTATTTTCTGTATCCACTCATCTGTTGATAGATACTTAGGCTGATTCCACATCGTGGCGGTGGGGCATACTGTTGCAATGAACATGGGAGAGCAGACATCTCTTCAACATACTGATTTCGGTTCCTCTGGATCCCCAGAATTGGGATAGCAGGATGTTATTTTAGACAGGATAGTCAGGGAGGACCTCTCGGGAGGAGGTGAAATTAGGCAGAGACTTGAAAAAAGTGAGGAAAAGATAGCCATGAGACTATCTGGAGAAAGGCCCTGAGGTGGGTGCAGGGTTGGGGTATGTGAGGAACTAGCAGGAAGGAAGCCCAAGGTGGGTAGAGTAGTGATGGATGGGGTGGGGGAGGAGAGGCAGCCTGGGGGCTGGGTCACATCAGGCCTTGTAAGCCATGGGAAGAACTTTGGATTTCACTCCGCTGGAGGGGTTTTTTGGTTGTTTATTTGTTTGTTTTTGGG